GCGGCTTTGGGATGTGGGGAGGGCAGGCTCTCAAGCTGCCGTGACTGCTTTCTTGACTTGTGTGTCGATGGTATGCCAGCGTTTGCTGCAATCTCGAGTTCCAACGCCCCGTCGTCTGGGAGTGCTGCTGTGCTCTGGAGCCTAGCCTGTATCCGGTGGCTATGAGGTATGACGCTTCTCCGTACATTCTTCGCCGCAGTATATGGACACGAGGGCCGGCGTGGCGAGGGCGCACCCAGCAGTTGCGAGGCGCATCTTTGTATGGGTATCCGCTTCATTAAGGCAAAATCCGAGGGAGGAGGGCAGAAGAATCAGGACGGCGGAGTCGGCAGCAGCAGCAATTGGCCCGGTCGTGTGTTCACACAGGTCATGATCGCGACTGCCAAAGAATTTCCGCCAAGCTCGGGGCCCGTGCTAGCCCTACCATGCGACTGCGACCTCACGGCAGCTCCGCAGACAGCATACCCCACGAACCCGCACAACCACTTTCACCATGGGCGGAGGAGGAAAGATCCCGTACGAGCCGACTGCCAATTGCGTGCCAGTGCAGAATTGACGCCCAGCAGATACCCCAAGCACGTCTGGTCGCCGGCTGGTGGTTGGTACGCCCAGCCAGCCAACTGGAAAGCCAACACAGCCGTCGTAGGCCTCGCCCTCGGCAGCATCGTCGGCATGGCCTGGATGCTCAGCGCAAACCGCGAATACCGCGACAAGATGCCCGAACGCCACCGGTTCTTCCCCAGCCGATAGTACGACCTGCACTTGCACCCTTAGCCTACGCATGCATGCTAACCATGGGCACAGCTGGAGCAAACAGATCAGGGAGCATGAGCGGAAACAAGACCAGAACATCATCGAGAGGACAATTGAGGGTTAGGTTGGAGATGAAGGGGGGCATAGGGAGCAGCCAACGCGACTAAGGCTGTACATAACTAGCCAGCCGCTGCTTGAAATCTGAAAGCCTGTCTTGGACACCAACACCGTTCCACGTTTCCCCGTCCCTTGACTGTGAGAGAACGGGCATGCCTATCTGCTCAATGGCAAAGCTCGCCGAGATGGTCCCCCAGATCGCAGCTTCCTCGAGATTGTCTGGTGCGCACAAGGAGCCACCGCGGAGTAGGCCAACCGCCAGACCTCCCAGAAAACTGTTGCCTCCTCCGGTCGGATCGGCTACTTTTTCTGCTGACTGATGGTATGCAGGCATCCATTTACGCAGTCCTCTGCGCATTATCAGGCAGCCATCTTTCCCACAACGTACGACAACCCCGCCATTGCCGTCACCAACTCCACTGTCCAGCCACTGACTACACAGCTTCTCAATTGTTCGGAAGTCCACAAACTCTTTTCCGTCCGTGTTCCTGCCGAAGAAGCCGCCAAGCTCTCCGTGGTTCGGACTGACCACATCAACATACTTGAGCGCCTTTAGGCAATTCTCGTACTCCGCGGGTGTGCATAAATCGGGAACAGGTTCCCAGATAAACACGGGGCGCCGAACATCAGTCGAACTGGAACCCTGTTTGCGTAGTGCAATGATGTTCTCAATCAGATCGATGCAGCGTAACGGCGAACAGATCAGATGAAATGACTTGGACCATAGTAGATCGGTACCAATCAGACTTTCGTGGTCTACGCGCAGCTTCGGCGTCAAGTATCGAAATGCTTCATGAGATTAATCAGACTTTGAATTACTCATAGGCGACACATGGACATTTACCTCGATGCTCATTTTCGCCAGTGTAACCATTCCAGCCTCGCGTAGTCAACCGTTCAGGCGTTTCGCGTACTAGCACACCAGTTCTCCATTGCGCGATAAAGTCGCGCAACTCAGGCGGAAAATCAGATCCGCAATCTACAATCCAGCCCACAGACTCCGACTGTGGTGGTGGGGAGAAGATACGCGCGCCCAAGGCCGAGTACGACCCTGCTCCTCCAACAATGTCCTTGACTGTAGGCTTTGGCGGGGGAAATTCGATCTCATCTTGGTGGTTTCAGCGGCTTGAACGCGTTGAAAATTATTGCATGCGTACCTATGATGAACATTCCCAGCGTGCAGAAATCAATCTTGTCATAGTTTTCAGCATGTTGATTAGCCATGTTGGATGCTTGCACACTGCCGTCTGTAGATCGCAAGGTTGATAGCATGCCGCTGACGTGCATGTCTCGAACGGACCAGGCTTGGCTGCAGACGGCTAGCGCCATGTGGGCAGCCGTGGCCATGCGTCTGGAGAGCTGACCCTTTGAAGTTCTGCCTGCCATTGTGCTTTTGAAACCAAAAGATATCCTGCTGTGTTCATAATCTAGACAGGGCGAATTCCCGTTGTCTGCTTGTAGCCTTCCCTCTCCACAGTACGAATCAGAGGCGCCTAACAAGCTTCAGCGTGCCGCGGCTGCCCCTTCCCCGAGCATTCAAGATACCTGTCCGCATACAGGTGCCTTCCCTACAAACGCTGAGACGCGCCTTCTCCACATGGCGAACAACATGAATAACCTCACGACGCTGATCAAGCGGTAAGTGTCTTTCCTTTGCAATCACGACCTACCAGCATCCAAACCTACCACCCTACAACGCTCTGCGCATCCCACTACTCTGCAAGAGCGCGCCACGATGACCCCCGAGCCCGAACAAGCACACATCCTCGGTCGACATGGCCAGATTCGCGTCACAACGGATAATGTACTAACGTCTATGGTCCGTAGACTCGAAGCTGCTACTTCGCGCCTCGAAGACATCGCTAGCACCGCTCTGCCCAACAACGGAAATGGAGCCGCAAGCCTCAATGGAGCCTCCGCTGATGCTACTCCAGGCGTCACAGCGGCAAACACGAGCGCCAACACCCCAAAACTCGTCGCGGAAAGCGCACCGCCCGCAATTGAAGCTTTCGATGAGCTGGTCAACTCAGACTTGAAGAACTGGCTAGACCTGAGCGGAAAGCTGGGAAGCGTCATCGAAGGCCAGTCAAAAGCAGTCGAGGGAGCCTTCGCCGCCCAGCGCCAATTCCTCTTCATTGCGAACAAGGCTAAGAAGCCTGACGACCGCACCCTGATGGAGCTTCTCAAGGATCTCCAGGCGAGCATGGAGAAGACAGACGAATTCCGACAGAGCAACCGAGACCCCGCGCTCAAAGACTCCGTCTCCATGGTTGCCGATGGTGTTGGCTCCCTTGGATGGGTTACAATTGGCCAGGGCGGAGGTATGAAGCCTCACGAGCACATCAACGAGCTGTTTGGTGGAGCTCAGATGTACGGCAACAAGGTCCTTAAGGAGTACCGCGACAAGTATGGTTATCCACCCCCCTACTTGAGGCAGCGCTGACAGATTCAGGCCCGACGGTGACGCGCATGTCAAGTGGGTTCAGGCTTACTACAAACTGTTCAAAGCTCTCGCCGAGTACGCAAAGAAACACCACGCTACGGGCGTAGCCTGGAACAGCAACGGAATCGACGCCAAAGACGCTGCAAAGGAGATCTCCTCTGCACCCCTCTCAGGCGCGTCGAGCGTTCCTCCTCCACCAGCTCCTCCAGCAGGAGGTGTCCCACCACCACCCGGTCCCCCACCACCGCCAGGCCCTCCACCGCCACCAGGTGCCGCGCCCGTTGCTAAGAAGGCTGCGCCCGATATGAATGCCGTCTTTGGCGATCTCAACAAGGGCTCAGACGTCACAAAGGGGCTCAAGAAGGTCGACCCAAGCCAAATGACACATAAGAACCCGTCGTTGCGAGCGAATGCCACAGTCCCCACGCGAAGCGATAGCACCGGCAGCCTAAGGAGTAAGAGTCCTGCGCCGCCCAAGGCTAAGAAGCCGGAGAGTATGCGGACGAAGAAGCCACCGAAGAAGGAACTGGACGGAAACAAATGGATAATAGTATGTGTAGCTCAGATGATATGTAGTAAGACTTGTCGCTAACTCGTGCCCAGGACAACTTTGACTCACCATCCGAGACAATCGAGATCGACGCCGAAATCAACCACTCCATCCTCATCTCCCGCTGCAAGAACACAACCATTCGCATTAATGGCAAGGCAAATGCGCTTTCGCTTGATAACTCCTCCCGCACATCGCTCATCATCGACTCACTGGTGAGCTCCGTGGACGTGATCAAATGTCCCAACTTTGCGCTACAAGTTCTCGGCACTCTCCCCACCATCCTGCTCGACCAAGTTGACGGCGCTACCGTATACCTCTCCAAGGATTCTCTAGCAACTGAAGTTTTCACAAGCAAGTGCAGTAGCATAAACATCAATCTGCCCACCGAAGACGACTACGCCGAGAACCCGTTGCCTGAGCAGATCAGGAGCTATATCAAGGACGGCAAGCTTGTTAGCGAGATTGTAGAACACGCTGGTTAGACGGTGTTTTCTGGCGTGCGTTCTTGAAGAGGAACCGTGAATAGTCACCACATTGTCTGCAGTCAGTTGCAGCTTGAACGTGTTGAATTGCATAGTTAGCACGATCGATGTCGACGAGATAGGCAGTCTTGTGTCTGTAGGATAGATCTGTATAGACCATCTTTGCTATACGCGGAAATCAACCTTCCTCATGACGCTTTTGGTGACCGGTACCCTTCGTTTGGTGCTGCTCAGTGAGATCTTTGAGTTCTTGTCATGCTTAGGTAGCGTGGATTCCGTACCCGTGCCAGTTATTTACCGACGATCATGGCCTTACTTTCTGGCTGCGGCGCGCCCTCGGCATCTACTGCGACGATGTGCCATTGGAACGAACCGAGCACGGGTTGTATCAAGTCCCATGACATAACCTTAGCAAGTACGAATCTGGCGCGCAATCGATATCATAGACAAACAGGAAATAGATCCTGCTGCCTTCAAGGTGAGAGACGCAAATGGGGCCACGGCGACACAAACACCAGCCTGCCCGCTCTCGGCTTCAGGTAAAGGTGTCAGTAGCAGGCAGTGGCATATATTGACTTCGCTATCTAATAACCTACCGGCTTCCTACCTCAACATCTACCTCCCCATCAAAACCCAACAATATCACAACAAAATGGCCAACATACCCATGATGTGCCTCGCAGAGATAGTCTGTGAGATCCCTCCGTCGTCGCTCTACTCTGAGCTGCCAATACAAGAACGACTAGGTAAGATCCACCCAAGAGGATGTGAATATTGCCAGTGCTAACCTCATATCTACCACAGTCACCGTGGGCATGAACACCAGTGGCCTGTCGGTCAATGGACCGGCAGTTGTGCCTAACTCAACACAGGCCACGAAGATTAGCAGGGTTCTCGCCGCCTATCACGGTGTAGTACCTCAGAGCAAGCATACGGTTGTTGTCGGGATGCACGCAGACCGGAATGATCAAAATAAGGCTGCCGCGGTGTTCCGCACGGCAAGAGAGACGGTTCAAACTGAGAAGTACGGTCCGAATTCCTTCATTCAACAGTTCATCCCCGGCAAGGTGAGCAGCGAGAACTTCCTCGTTCAATAAACCAATTCCAGTATCGAAGCAAAGGCGAGGGAGCTTCAACCGCCAAACGAGACACGGGCTCAGACCGATACCCGCACGGCGGAGCACCAGGCCTTCCTCGATGCAATGGCATCGGGGGAAAGGCTCTGGGTGAACACATACGAGTTGGAATACCGAAAAACTGTCGACGCGCTCCCGGCCGCCAGGGGTCTTGAGAGGACACGCCTAACCCGAAAGGCTGAACTCTATCATAGGATGAAAGATAACCCCCCACGATGCGCCGTCGACCTGAACACACTACACTCACGGCACCAGTGTGACCAGGCCAAGATGATCCCGCTCGGCCTGCGAAATTGGGAACTTATCCTGGACTTCTGGCAAGCGACCATCACCGACGACATACTCACATCACATCTTGAGAAAGCTTCTAACGTGGTTGACATCCGGTAAGTACTCTACTTTGTGACCCATGCATGCGAACTTCTTCCACATCACTAACTGCTGACAGAAGAATGCTTGAGAGAAACAACGTACCAGATTTCAAAGACATGCAAGGCAATCTCTGGATCAACGCTTGTGCGTTGATCGACCTGCATATCGTTGGACCTAACCAGTCCAAGAAGCAGGAAATGCTACTTGACGACCGATCGCGCCGCATGGCGGCCTAGGATCCGCGCACTGCACATCGACTTGAAGTTCCACGAGGATTCAGAATTTGGTACTTGGACAGAAACTCCGGTGCTTATTCCGGGATCGAAGGGCCGCAAGCGCCCGATGGAAGAACAGGGCCTGGGCAGCACTTAAGGCCGGAAGAGATGGCGTTCTTCTGGGTATATAGCGCTAATCCAAATGTGGGTTAGCACTCATGGGAATCAGAACGCTGGGAGCAGAAGCTTTTGGACGACTGTACAGTCATGAATCAAAGACATGCAGTGAAAGAACTCGAGCTATGCGATCAACTGGAGTACCCTCTAGTATCTAGGACTATACCGTCCCGGTCGCCGAATCGATTCGTACCCCCAACTTTCCACTACATTGTCCACAATGTCATAGTGCAACGAGCTAGATACAATTGATGCACTGGTACAAAACAATCAAGTTCTTAAAGCCATTGAATGCCTCCATGAACATCCAAGCTTAGGGAAAGCACATCACTCACACTATTAATACAAACAGGCAGAAGTTTAGTCTTGATCATTGATCATTTTTTTCGTCATCTATATCTACATTACAGGTCCTCCGCATCAGCAAAGGAACACGACAATGAAAGCCAAAACATGTACCAAGGGAATCATCCAGTCCATCCGCTGCACAAACTCTTCTTTCTCCAACACTGTTCATGATCCTGCCAGAGCTTGCTGACGTTTAGTTGTCGCCAGTGTGAAGGTCGGCCCAGTGGGCATCGTCTTCGGCTTGGGTCAACTCCTGGGGGTTACGGCCGGATAGCTTGCCACGTCCACCAGCACCGGCAGCGTTGCCTCCCTTGCCCTTGTGGTGTGCCTCTGGGTCACGTCCGAACAGTTTGGCGAGTCCGCCGGCACCGCCAGCACCAGCAGCATTTCCGCCCTTGCCCTTGTGGTGCGCTTCGGGGTCACGTCCGAACAACTTGGCCAAGCCTCCAGCTCCACCAGCACCGGCAGCGTTGCCTCCCTTGCCCTTGTGGTGTGCTTCAGGGTCGCGTCCGAACAGTTTAGCGAGGCCTCCAGCTCCTCCGGCACCGGCAGCATTGCCTCCCTTGCCCTTGTGGTGTGCCTCAGGCTCACGTCCGAACAATTTGGCGAGGCCGCCGGCACCGCCAGCGCCAGCAGCGTTTCCGCCTTTGCCCTTGTGGTGTGCTTCAGGCTCACGTCCAGACAGTCTGCCGCGGCCACCAGCTCCCCCGGCACCAGCAGCGTTGCCTCCCTTGCCCTTGTGGTGGGGAGAACGAGTGTGAAGATCAGCCCAATGAGCATCGTCCTCTTCTTGGGTCAACTCTTGAGCATCACGGCCGAAGAGCTTGGCTAGACCACCAGCGCCTCCGGCACCACCAGCAGCGTTTCCGCCCTTGCCCTTGTGGTGTGCTTCAGGCTCACGTCCAGACAGTCTGCCGCGGCCACCAGCTCCCCCGGCACCGGCAGCGTTGCCTCCCTTGCCCTTGTGGTGGGGAGAACGAGTGTGAAGATCAGCCCAGTGAGCGTCGTCCTCCTCTTGAGTCAACTCTTGAGCATCACGGCCGGACACTTTGCCGCGGCCACCAGCTCCGCCGGCGTTGCCTCCCTTGCCCTTGTGGTGAGGAGAGCGAGTGTGAAGGTCAGCCCAATGAGCGTCGTCCTCTTCTTGGGTCAACTCTTGAGCATCACGGCCGAAGAGCTTGGCTAGACCACCAGCGCCTCCGGCACCACCAGCGGCGCCCGCTCCGCCTTTACCCTTATGGTGGCGAGCTTCAACTCCACGATCTGCGAGTGCAGCTACGAGGTTGGTCGCGTGCACAGGTCCGCTTCCCTGGAAGATTGTAAGTATAAATCATCCAAAGCAATATCAGCCAACTTACTGGCATGCGTGCTTTGACGGCATTATCGACGGCTTGCTTGTTGTTTGGCACAACGTAGGCTGAGGTTGAGGCACCCAGGGCCAAAAGAGTAAGTGCGGTAAATCTCATTATGAAGAAAGTTTAGATGAGTCTTGAATTGGATGAAAGAATGGATCTGCCAGCAGAGAAGAATAGATGAAACAGTTCTGAGCAGGTTGTGAGAAGGAATGAGCACGTTCAACGCTTGATGCCTTTTCTTCTGGAACTTCGAGATGCTTTATAACTGAAGTATGCTCCGGGGAAGCACAGCGGGTACATGCTTGCTCTCTCCTCCAGCTCCTGAGACATGTTGCATTGCTCACGGCACAGAAGCGGAGTTGACACCCTAGTAGGTTATCGAGTCTACCGCGATGTGACAGCAGTGGAAGGCGTTTGTACGGGAAGCCAAACACGGAAGGTCTTGACGGGCTTCCGTCTCCACCAACGACACCGCCAGCAGTGGACAAGGCCTGTCAGTGTTTGAAGAATACGGTCATGTCCAAACCGAGCCGCCGCGCAACTGCGTCTAGCCTCAGGTCCCGCGGCATTTTACCGATGATTCTTCTGGCTATTGGCAATGTGATCTGTATAGCTTGCTTTGACCAGATGATGATGGGGTTCTGGGGCTGGCATCTCATTGGATAGACTGTAACCGACGAGTTTACCCATGGAACTAGTGCCTCGAAGCCGCGGTTTGCCTCTAGCACAGGCAACTCTTTGACGTTATTTCCGTTGTTCTGTCATAATGCTGCTGGGACGTTTGTTCCATGTGCGTGTCATGTCAGTAAAGGAACCCCGTTTTGGCTGGCGCGCCAAGCTGAAACGATGGTGCCGAAGTATGAACATCCAGTCTTGGCTAAGTGTCCACTTCGAAACCCAAGCAGCGGCTGAACCAACGGAAATGCTGAGACGTCCCCACTTCCTGCGTCTCAGAAGGCTTGGTAAAAGCTTGTTGCCTTAAAGCCTTGTCGCAGACGGGTGCACAAGGCTATTGTTGCCTGGCGTCAACGGAAAGAGATGCCTTACAGGGAGCGACATGCACGGCATGGCGGCATCGTTTGAGATGTTCCGTGTTTCGGTAACCTGCCTCTGGCGATACCCAAAACGTATCGGAGGATGGTGTCGCAAGACTAATCTTCATTCCTTGGGCTATCAATTCTCATTTACTCACTACGCTTTTGTCCATCGTTATTTTCTTTCATCTTACTCGAACGTTGAGCGGTCGTCATTCTATTCTACATCGCGGGTCGACTAATAATTCTTCTTCCAACGTCGTAAAGAACAATTTCGAATCACATCTATTGTATAGCTCTCGCTGTAAGAGTCACGATGGAGAAGTATACCGATTCAAGCTCTTCGCAAGGCGACTCCGAAAACACCGCCTTTATCACCACACAATACCAGAGAGACGACAGGCAAAGAAGGAAGAGCTATATCTATCTTACACTCTTCAACCTCTTCCTCTTCACACTATCAATGCTTTCATTGATCTGTTCGGTCATGTCGCAAAAAGACTTCTCAGGTCATTCAGCAGCGAAGTTGATGGATCAGTTCGACGTCTTTTGTATGTTCACAGGTCTCGATTACCCGGGATCGTTAGCTAACACAGTCTAGCACCTGCGAAGCATGTTGTCGAGTACAGTCAAACAAAGTTCGAGTTAGCGAACCCGTTGAATTCCTCCAAGTACGTTGGCATTACCGACGATGTAGAGAATGCATGGATGGATGTCGCATACCGTAAGTTACTGCTTCTTTTCCTTAGACACCCATACTATACTCACCCAAGGTTCCGTCACTAACAATACGTAGTTCCCGATCAGATGGTTTCCATGGAAGACTTCCCTAAGCTGCAAAAGCCCGCCGATGCCCTTCAAGTCGTAGACCCGAAAACAGGCGAAACAGGATACCGGGTTGGCCTGGAAGTCTTCCACCAACTTCACTGCCTCAACCTGCTCCGCATGTCGACGTACCCAGATTACTACCCCAAACTCTGGTGGAGCGACACGAACGACAAGCCTGAAAAGGTCAGGGCGCACCTCGGTAAGCTCGCGCTCGAACTCGTTCACTCCCGATCACGACTAACTATTGAATCTAGATCATTGTATCGAGATCCTTCGTATGAACCTCATGTGCCTCTCGGACGTTAACGTCTTCACCTTCCACCCGCAAGAGGGTAAGAAGGGGTACTGGCCTGACTACGAGAGCAACCATGTGTGCAGAAACTTTGAGAAGATCAAAGATTGGGCTAACGATAACGCGATGCCTGATCTCGATGTATGATCTTGTCGTCGTACATAGTCCGGGTCGCGATGTATATAGTCTAATGATATTCGCGATATAATTTCACTGAAGAAATGGAAGAGGCTCCCTGGCATCTTTCTTCTCGCAAACTACAATATTTTCCTTTTTTATTTTCCTTCAATCGTTTCTCGCATGCAATCGATTCGAGTTTCTCGTCCGCACATGAAACAAGCCGTTTCAGTTTCGCAACACGAACCATGCGTTGGGCTCCACTCATTGATCTTGGTCACGCAATGCATCATCACGCTGTGCTTTTTCGACTGCTTGGGCAGATTTCAAGATTGTAGGGCTCAGCAACGTTGGTGGATGTGAAACCACTCAGGGCTTACATTTTATATCCTGGCACGCTTTATAAGACTGTGAGATAGAGGCTATTGTCATTCCAAAGTGCTATGTATTGATTTTTGAAGTGACACAAGAGAGTGCTGGATAGTTAAAGTGTTCCAGTGAAGTACGATGATGATATGGCAGCTAGGATAGGGCATCTAATAATGCCAAGAGTAGGGTAAATTCCGACGACAAGCAAATGTACAGCTAGTGATATCTATTATTTTCCAAACGCCAAGAGTGAAGCTTGTATTTGTGCCCTTGTCTATTACATGTCGAGATCTGGCATTTGCAAATCGTCGCCCGGTTCCATCATATTCAATAGATAGCGTGATCCCGAAAACCAATCCTGCATAGGATTTTGATTTCCCTGTGATGTTCCTAAGGCGACACCAGATTCGTTCGCGTTGTGAATTGCCTGAGCTTCTCCGAAAGGATTCATGTTCGCCGAAGCAGGAGTGGTGGAGTATGTAGTCGTGGGCCATGCGGTGTCAGGCATTAGGCCGAGCGCGCTGAGATAAGGATCGAACTGAGACATAGTACTAAGATCAAGTTGTGTGCCATCCACAGTTGTATAGTATCCAGAATGTTTGTTCTGTGAAATTCCCCTCACTCGCGAAGCGGCATCTTGTCTTTTAGCCGCTACGTAAAGCTTGGTAACCCGCAGGAAAAGATGGCACATCTTATAAAGCTTATCTGCACCTTCAGAAATTGTGCGACAAGATTCGAGGCTGGTGACAAATTCTGAAAGGGAGTGTATATCAGAATCAACGTCGGATATGTCTGCCTTCTGGATAGCATTGCAAAATAATACGATGAAGCTATTGTTTTGGATTAGCTGAGCAGCGTGCAGAATGTTGGGGCAACTTACGGCGTGAAGGGCGCCTGGAGAACCGACCAGTGCACATATCCCGACCATAGATCTTCTTGGCCCTTCTTATTGAATTGCGCACTTGCTCTCATGTGCGCTACAAGAGCCGCTCGTGAAGACTCGAGACATTCCTGATTGAATGACATGTTGCTTGGACTCACCGCTCTCTGAATCAGTGCGACGGTTGAATAGTGCATGACAACATCAGAGTAGAAAAAGATGTCTTGAACACGCTCAAAAGAACCTTTTCCCAGATCAGTCAGTTGGTTTTGATGATGGGAATGGGAGAGCTTGCCTTGGATGTATTCGCTGACACCTGGGTCACGCCCCATGTTAGGTGACTTGTGTACATAGCGTTTGTATTGAGACGGTTTCGGTGTCTCATTCGGGGTGTGACCTATCATGCTCGGCCGCTCTGAACCAAGGCTAAATGCATGGCCTGGCTGACTGAAATCCACAAGTGAAGCATCTCCTCGTTCGTACCAGGCTTGGTTGAGAGCATTAACAAGATCAATGGCGATGCGCGTGCGCTCTTCGGTAGACTTCAAAAAGGCAGCAGGACAGAACAACTTCTCGTAGGTCAAACCCTGTACTCGCGCGACCTTAATCCAGTACGAGAGCATGTCGCTTGATTCGGGATTCTTGTCGTCAGGATTACTCGACACAACGAACGGCAGAGATATGTCCCAGTCCTGGAGGATGCTTGAGCGACCCAAGCGTAAAGAAAGGGTTTTGTCGAGCATGTATATCATCCAAAAGATTTGAATCTTCGTTTGACGGTCTTCCGGGTTGTCGTTGACCATGGTGTTGATACGATGGTAACCTAGGCTTTGACACAAGCCTGCTGCACTCGATATCATAGTCCAACATAGAGAGGGTCTGCACTTCTCAACCGCTTGTGCTGCACCAAGTACCAAGGCCATGATGTTCTCATAGCTTGCTGGCAAGCATATAGCCAACTGCGACAGGGCCACTTCTGTCTGCCTCCTGCATATGGTGGCGTATGTGTAGTAGTTAGTAGTGACCATGTTGACTAGTGGAAAGACCCGAAATTCGTTGAACACATTCTCCAGAACGCCAAAAGTGAGCACGCGTCGAGTGGCGCTACAAGTTTCTGGGTTATGATACGCTTCGTAGAAAATATCTTTAAGATTAGCCATCCGCAAGAATGGAAACACCACCGCAAATGCCATAGTTGGATATTCTGATTGCATCAGCTCTGAACGAGATGTACAATATGTGGCGTCTTACCAATAGCCTTTTCCAAAGCGTAGCACGCTGTATCCCACGGTGGGCGCTCTAGATTTGCAGGGTCAATGTCGGCAAGAGAGTTGTTGATCAAGTGGTTGGAAGACGCGTTATTTTGGCCCTGCTGAGAAACCATCTCTGCAAGAGCAGTAAGCGCCATCTTGACTTCTTCATTCTGGCCGATAGAGGGTGTGCTCCCAATAGCTTGCGCCAACATCGCTCGAGCATAATCAGACTGGCTGTTGATGGAGCTCTCGCCCTCGAATGGCGCGGGTGTATGGGTATCGACGAGACCACTTCCTGGACTTCTGGAAGGACCAACCCTACTCGACCGCGACTGGCTGCTAGTATCGTGGGAGTCTTTTTGGAGGTCTAGACTGCCAAGCTTCTAGAATGTTAATGTACGAAGTCAGTGTATGATTCACGTGTTGTTCGTACATGTGAGTCTTTACCGTTGCAAGACTAGCAAGAACATTTTCGATACCTGCTAAACGGTCTTCAATTCGATCAATCTTCTTCTCGCTAAGCGGAGTCAGTCCTGATCAGATTACTCAGCACCAGATCCGGACAACTCGGTTGATTGGCCGCAGCGGACTTGACATCCCGCAGTACGCGACCTGAGAGCGCCGCGAAGTCGTTTAAGCCCATGCGAACGCACGTTTACCCAGAAACTCGGTAGCAGTGTGGGTACGACTGGCGCCACAAACGGTGACGACTACGCCACAAGCGATTTATACGTACTATTCTTCAGAGATGTGGACCCTTTGTCGCTGCGCCTTCTGCTGGGGAGGAGTTGTCTTGCAAGCTGCACGAATCAGCAGCGATCCTCAGAACACGCCAAGTAGAACATACCCAATTTACTCGCCTTGCAGTTGGAACATGGCAGGCCTCTATCGCAACGTATCTTGCGCGTTCGGCAACTATCGCACTAGATGTGGATCGTCAATGTGTATGCCGCCCTTGGTATTTCTTATGCGACTTACCGCACGCTTGGACATAGCTCCATCAAGCGATCCATCCATGTCGTCGTCTTCCATGGTGGCGGTTACGCAATCGGTGCCGCGGTTGTTCTACGCGTGAAGTGCCAGACTGAATTGTAATGTGGGTGTGTGCGGAGGACGGACTTTTCGGGATCCGCGGCTTTGCGAATTATCAACGATGTCATTACTCACAGCCAGAATCACGCCAGCATGGGCAGCAGCCTAATATTGCGAAACAGAGCCTACTTGAGTGAGTCAAAACTAAAATGCTGTGAAGCCGAACGCTGCCACCAGGTTTCACTAGCAGAGATGCGAAGAACGCGCAACCCCGTGACTAGGCCGAGGATTTCAAAAATTCGCCGATTGGCTCGCATTACTCGTATACCGATCCATAAAGGAAATATCCAGCTGCTTGCGACGCCCTTTTCGGAACGCCTGTTCACCGCGGGTCCGGGCTTTGCAAAGTCCGGACGCAATGCTCAACTTCATTGAGATGGCTTTAGATATAGCGGTAGAGCACTGCTGTCTGCCTACCCGCCGCATGTAACATTCACATCGAATATGTCGCGAGATAAGGATTTGCTTGACACGCCTGGGCAGAGCACAAGCGATGACGTCAAGAGAAGTACAACGCCAACAGACAAGAGCGATGGCGCGGTTGAGGAGCCAAAGGGAGGCATGGGCGGCTACGTGGTAAGCATGCTAGGCAGAACTGGAGAAACGCCGAAAATAACGTTGTCAGCGCATCTTCAAGTATGCAGATCGCACCAGTTGGGCGCTCAACATCATTGCGTTTATCGCAGCAATCGCCGCTGGAACCTTACTTCCACTAATGTAAGTCATACGTGCACGCCATCTAGGTTTGTCATATGGGGAGATAAAGGGCTGTGGAATCTTGCAGCGCTTAGCCTTGGTCACTTGACAAACACACACTAACCTATTCTTCTCATTTTACAGGGACCTGGTCTTTGGGAAATTCGTGTCAACATTTACTGGATTTGCGACGGGCTCGATTACGCCGGCACAATACCGCTCAGAAGTAGACAAGTATAGTCTGTACTTTGTGTATCTCTTCATTGCAAAGTTTGGGCTGGTCTACATACACTCGGTAGGTGGTAAACTATTCGTATCGCTGAAACAGATGCTTATGTTTCAAGGCCTTCATCTCGATCGCGGCAATACGGACCACTAAGGCGCTAAGACTGGACTTCATACGACACATTCTTCGGCAGAACATTGCGTATTTCGACTCAGATGAAGCAGCCTCGGTCACCACTCAGGCTACGACAAACGGAAACAACGTTAACAATGGCATATCCGAGAAGCTCACGTTAATCATTCAAGGTGTATCGACCTTCGTCTCTGCATTCATCATCGCCTTTGTCATACAATGGAAGCTTACTCTGATAACGATAAGTATTGTTCCAACAATCATTGTCGTGGTTGGTATCTCCATAGGTATTGACACCAAGAACGAGAATCAACTGCTACCGATCTACTCCAAAGCTGGACAACTTGCGGAAGAAGTCTTCTCGACAGTGCGAACAGTCCATGCGTTCTGGCTCCATCCATTGCTGTCTCGCAAGTACGACAAGCTTCTTGGCGATGCTCAAGAAGTGGGCATGAAGAAGTGCCCGAACTATGCCGTTATGTTCTCTACCGAATTCTTTTGCATCTACGCAGGCTATGGATTGGCCTTCTGGCAAGGCATTCGGATGTTTGCCAGGGGTGAAATCAAAGAAAGTGGTACGTAATGCGTCAGATGGGACTGAGATGGAGCTGGAATGGATGAACCCGCCAAGTCATGTAGCATACGATACTGATTGCTCAACAGGCGACGTTTTCACTGTCATTCTCGCTGTCATCGTCGCAGCAACTGCTATGACAACCATCGCACCTCAAATCATTGCTTTGACGAAGGCAGCTTCATCAGCCGACGAGCTATTCAAGACCATCGACCGGAAGTCTGAGATTGACCCTTTGAGCGATGATGGCAAAATACCAAATGCGTGTAAAGGTGTCGTCGATATTCGCGGCCTCAGTTTTTCCTATCCAGCTAGACCCGACATCGCAGTCCTGAAGAACCTGACGTTGTTGGCACCTGCTGGTAAGACTACAGCGCTGGTAGGAGCCTCCGGTAGCGGAAAGTCCACGGTAATTGGCTTGATAGAACGTTGGTATGACCAGGCTAGCGGCACCATATATCTCGATGGTACGGATATCCAGGAGCTCAACCTGAGTTGGCTGCGTACGAACATCCGGTTGGTACAGCAAGAGCCAGTACTGTTCTCCGGCACTGTCTACGAGAATGTTGCGTTCGGATTGGCCGGCACCGAAAAGGCCAATCTGCCTGAAAGCGAGCAGCGAGCGCTCGTAGAAAAGGCCTGTAAGGATGCTTATGCTGAAGAGTTTATTGAGCGACTACCCAAGGTTTGTTATGTTGTTTCTCACATTTTCACAGAAAAATCCTTAACGTTAGATAGGGTTACGATACACAACTCGGCGAGCGCGCTACGAACCTCTCAGGTGGTCAAAAGCAGCGCTTAGCTATCGCACGATCTATCGTTTCAGAACCGACTGTCCTCTTGCTAGACGAAGCCACTAGTGCTCTCGACCCAAAGGCAGAGAAGATCGTACAACAAGCGCTTGAGCGGGTCTCCCAAGGCCGTACTACAATTGTCATTGCTCATAAGCTTTCCACTATCCGAAATGCAGACAATATCGCAGTCATGGCTCATGGAGTTGTGGTTGAACAAGGTTCGCACGACGAGCTCCTTGCTGAAGATGGCGCCTACGCCCGTCTTGTCAAGGCTCAAGATCTTGGGCAAACAGAGGGCGACGAGCAGCTAGATGAAGATCATACTGCGGAAAAGGTGGATCTAGTCCGAACACAAACTCGAGCATCGGCTATTGGTCAAGAAGCGGAGAAGCCAGAAAAGGACAACATCAACTATAACCTGCTGAAGTGTACTTTCATAGTCCTCAAGGAGCAAGGTGATCTCTGGAAGTGTTTCCTTATCTTGGCTGTTGCAACCTTAGTCGGAGGTATGTTACCACATCGCTTAGACCTTCCTATTACTAAAGTGCGACAGGAGCAACGTATCCTGCCCAGGCTATCCTCTTTTCTCGCGTTGTCGAAGCCTTTCAGTTGTCTTCAAACGAAGCAGTAGATCAAGGTGACTTCTACTCCTTGATGTTCTTTATCGTGGCACTTGGCAACTTCGCCGTCTACAGTGTTGTTGGCTGGACCAGCAACATCGTAGCGCAGGTTGTCGCGAGAAAGTTTAGACGCGAAATTTTTGACCTCGTCCTCAAGCAGGATATGGCGTTCTTCGATGACCAGGATAACGCGAGCGGTGCTTTAGCATCAAAGCTCGGGGCCTATCCTGATAGCTTGCGAGATTTGATGGGCTTCAACTTGATGCTTATTTGTATCAATGTCGTCAACATCGTTTCCAGCTCGATCCTTGCCATTGTAGTTGGTTGGAAGCTAGGTCTCGTTGTGGTATTTGGAGCCTTGCCCTTGATCGTGTTCTCCGGGTACCTCAGGATCCGACTTGAATTCAAGCTAGAAGAACTCACCGGCAAACGTTTCGCTAGCAGTGCTGCTCTCGCTGCTGAAGCAGTCTCCGCCATTCGTACAGTTTCTAGTCTCGCGCTCGAAAGGCAGATCCTCGCACGCTACGAAGATCGATTACGCGGCGTTGCAAGAGACGGCATCAAAGCTCTAGTGTGGACCATGTTCTGGTATGCACTCACACAATCCATCTCGTTCCTGGCAATGGCTCTTGGTTTTTGGTACGGCGGTCAACTGATCAGCACGGGAGAGTACACGACTACCCAGTTCTTCACAGTCTTCATCGGTGTCATTTTCTCGGGAGAGGCTGCTGCTGCCTTTTTCTCGTACACCACGAGTCTGACCAAGTCGGCGACTGCTGCAAATTACATCTTTTGGCTGCGCAGATTGAAGCCTGCTGTACAGGAAGACGCGTCGAAACCGCCGTTCGACGACGAGAAGGACAAGGGTCCAGCACACGTCGAGATGCAGGGCATTGACTTTGCCTACAAGTCTCAGCCACACGCCAAGGTCCTCGGGGGTATAGATATTGATGTACAACCAGGTCAATTTATTGCCCTTGTCGGCGCTTCGGGCTGTGGAAAGTCGACGATGGTCTCGCTTCTCGAGAGATTCTACGATCCCGTTACAGGACGCATCACCTGCGATGGCGTTCCGTTAATGGGTCTTTGTCCGCGCAAGTACCGCCGAGGTGTCTCTTTAGTTCAGCAAGAGCCGGTTTTGTACCAGGGATCAGTCCGGGATAACATCGCCATGGGTGTCGAAGGCGATGTGACTGACACTCAGGTTGAAGCCGCAGCCAAACAGTCCAACATTTCAGACTTCGTTGCGTCTTTGCCAAACGGTTTTGCAACGATGTGTGGCAGTAGAGGCACACAACTATCTGGCGGGCAGCGTCAGCGTATCGCTATCGCTAGAGCGCTGGTCCGCGAGCCGCGTCTGCTTCTTCTCGACGAAGCCACTTCCGCGCTTGATACCGAGTCCGAGAGGGTCGTCCAGGCGGCGCTGGAAGAAGCGCAAAGTGGCCGAACAACAATAGCGGTAGCGCATCGTCTCAGCACAATCAAGGACGCAGATATGATCGTCGTCTTTGCGAAGGGAAAGATTGTGGAAAGCGGCACACACCAGGACTTGCTAGCTAAAAAGGGTGTATACTATGAGATGTGCTTAGGCCAGAGTATGGACCGGGCGATACCCATATGACAGTCGAGCAGACAGGACTGAGTGCTTTCTTTTCGTCTGAACTGAACCCAAAATTAGAACCGTTCATAGACTGTGCGATATGCAATATCACCCGCTCGGCTTCGTTACTCAAGTTTCGTGATTGCCGATGACTAGTGAAGGCCTGAGCGGGATTTTCTGCTGTGGACATCTGACGCCATACCCAAGTCAGATTATGACATAATATCGGTTTTGACTCCAGCGCCGGAGGACAAGAGAGCACGCGACAGTAGATGATTCGCGATGCTGCCTGAGGAGA